CCCCCCCCCCCCCCCCCCAACGGAATTCACCTAGCTTCAACACACCTCTACAAATCAACATCAAACTTCGAGGTGTGTGTGTGGATATTCCTATTTCCTTCCCGCTCAGGATCCCTGCTGCAAGGGGTGGAAGGTGTGTACTCCGTCAATACCTACAAGTTGCGAAACACCCGCTCGCTCGGCGACGTGCCTAAGGGCTCACGTACAAAACGTCGCGACCGTTGAGTTCCTGAATCGGGCGGTTGGTGGCGCCCACCTCGCTCACCTAACGGGAACGGCACGGCACGGGAGAGGGAAGGAGCACGTGTCTGAAACTACGGCTGTTTTCTCCAGTCGCTGTAGAACGACCACCCGTTTGAAATGCTACCACAGAAGGGCATGTTCAATCAAATCGTTGCAGCGATGGGAGAAAAAACGGCCGGATACTCGGTATATTTGTGTATGCCTTTGCACTCAATTACTATAACACCGTCAGGTCAGAGAAGAAACAGCGGCAACGCACCTTAGAGCCCTCGTGCAACGCAACCGCGCGGCGGTAGTTGTCCAGCTGCCACGTGCTCATGTAGTTGGGCTCGCTCATGAGGATCCACCTCACACCCTGCCAAGACCGAAACGGGCGTTTGGGTTGCACCCGGTTGAGTTTTTTGAAGAAATATCATGTGTCGTGTCATCCTACGCGTGGCCAGGGATGTAGCCAGCTCCTTAATGCACGCACGAACAACGGCAGGGGGGTAACCTACAACATGCTACGGCGGCGACTCATAAATCAGTCAAACAATTGAATGTAATAAAATGTAGAGAACTATGTAATCAACTAAAATTATTGTTTCCAGATGTTTTAACACTTCATCCAACGCAACAGCAGCACGCCACTGGACGATTACAGAATCAACACCACAAGCCACATTCGCAGGCTACAGTAGGCTTCGCACGCGAAAGGTTCCACCCACCTCGGTGCACGGGGGGGTGGTGAGCGACCCGGAGTAGGTGGTGAAGCTAGGGGTAGCGGGCAAGAGCGAGTACGCCGCGGCCATGAACTGCTCCTCTGCGATATCCTGGTTCAAGTCCATCACGTTCCACATGGGCTCCAGCTGTCGTCGGGTGCGAGGGGGGGGGGGGGGGATGCCCGGTGTCAGTGAACGATCACGCTATGGACGGACGCGCCAAGGGAACGAGTGGTTTGGAAAGCCCCTATGCAAATAGAGGTGATAATAACTGGCTATCCCGGGAAAAAAAAAAATCCAAAGCATCTCCATGGTGTTGTCAGCAGCGCACAACCGTCATGTATCTGCTGCGCCCCGTGGCATTCTATCTGAGTCTCACCTCCACGTTCTGGCCGTAATCGCTGACTTCGAACATGATCCCCACTACAAGCAACCCGTCGGTGGTGTTCTGCTTGAGGTGAACCAGGTGGATCTCCGCCGCGTGTTCTGCTCCACCGAGCTGAGTGGACAGGAGCGAGCAGAAAGGACACGTCAAAAAACAGCAACAACACTTCCGCGACGATAATGTCATGTCATGTTATCAGACGCGTCGGTGCGTCACGTCACGAAACGCAGTCTCTCGGATTCGATCGTCGGGGGGAAGTCGGCGCAACATCTCCACCACGCGAGGGTTAACTTTTGAGTACCCCTACCGCAGTCGTAAGCCTCTTGCCTACAAGTACGTAGACACAATCTCACAGGCGGAACGGGCTTTCACGGACGTCAAGAGGGCAAGGAAAGAAGGCGCCATGTTTCGATGGTACCGTGTAGTTCTTCAAACACCACGCCTGCGAATCAAGGGCGTACGTACTGCAGCTGCGTTCTCATACACCCACCCCCTGCGAAGCGTACTGCAGCTGCTGCGTAAGCGTGTCTCTCCCCGGGTGCTTCCAAGGGTGTATCATCCATCAGACTCCGGTGCGCGAGTCGACGGCAACATAAGATGCGTCGGGTCAGCACTCACCACGTGCTCGGAGGGCGAGTGGATGTGGAACTGGAGCAGGTTGTAGGTCTCGCCCTGGTACTGGAGGTAGGGTGCGTCGGTGCACCCGGAGAAGTCAACCTGGAAGAACACAAGACGGTCAACAAGAGATGGCCGTTGTAGCAGAAGCAAAGGGCTGAAATCGCTTAAAAAAAAAACACGAAACAAGCCGCAAAAAATGCTTCTCCTCAAGTGACCATAATATTAAAAAAAAAAACGCCCCGCAGCGAGAGTTTCCAAGGTACAAAACGTGTTCGTTGAAAGAGCAACACAAAAGGACAATAACTTAAACTTGGATCTCGGGCTTACCCCTGGATCTAGAGAAACGTGCCGAAGGCACACACACCAATGATACACCCCCGCCTTGTCACCTGCCACACGGCGAAGTCCGACTTGAAGACCAACTCGGTCGAATTGCACTCGCTAGGGAAGAACGCGATGGCCTGCTCCTGCATCTGTAATTCCGAGGGGCCGGTAACGCGGGGTCGATCGGTGCTTCCAAGAGTTAGCCCGCGATGGTACAAACAACTCGGTAGAGGCGGCGGAACCCAGTCTCCGCGGGCCCCCTGAGCGGGGGCGTCGCGAACGCGAAGCTCCTCTGCGTCGTTCTTAGGATTTTTACACCTAAAGACGTGGTGTCACACGGAGACAAGACGTCCCCCAAGGATGATAAGTTGTCGAAGGGTAGAAGTCAACCTGCACAAATGATTTATTCCTAGGCGTTGGTGCCGCCCATACATGGCGAGGTACACGGGCCGTCCGCCACACGCTGTTTCCTGTCGATATGCACGAGCTTCACTTGTACCTAGGTGTTCCAGCTACGCATCCCTGCATGGCATGTAACGATCTTGATACGTTCGAGGCGCGCTCGTTTCCTGTCTACCTCCGCCACGCATGTCTCGTCGTGATTGGGAGCGCGACCAAGCAAACATCAGGTCGACCGCGCCACACGCTGGTGTATTTCTTCGTTTGCGTGCTCGACATCCACATGCTGCTCGACTTCCATCAACATTTTGTTCCCAAACATTCTATGCATATAATTGAACACCACTCACGGTAGCCGTGCCCATGACGTCTGCGGCGATGTTGATAGGGGTCTGTTTCGTCCCTGCGCAGTCGGGGTACCCCAAGTACCAGTCGCTGCACGTGGGTTCATCGGATTAGGAGGAACACGAAACGGGATCACGTAGGGTGAGGGAAAAATGAAAGGGACACGAGCAACATCGTTGTGGAAACGGGACCGGCCAGAAAAACACGAAATACGCGCGCTCGATCTCTGGGGTGTACTATTTACGACTGTAGTCCATAACAAGAGAGGCGGAGAGGCATGGATGACAACATCTCAATCTGCGGGTTCTCCCGCAGTCAAGCACGAACCAGGGCACGACAAATGCGGGAATAGATCTAGCCCATCCTCGCCGTCGCACCAAAGTACACCCTGAGTTCAACTAAGCGTTGAGCCCGATACACGACAAGACAGTACACACTTGACACAGGGACAAATTATTCTCCAGGGCATGGACGGACGCCTGACCGAGGAAAGCAATTAATTAACCAATAATGTAGGACACAACAATAGGACGGAAGGAACGCAACAATCACCAACAATCTAGCATACGGACTTCGAAAATAACGCCGAAGGGGAGAAAGCAACAACCAAGAACAGGGGGGCAAAAGGTGATGGGATACTCACTCTGGGCCGTACGGCTCTTCCCCGACGACTCCCGTGGCGCGGTAAGTCCATTCCGCGGCAGCTTCGTCTGATGACGTGCAGGGACGGTTCATGCAACGCACGAGAAAACGGTACGGAAAGAATAGGTCACGGTCATCGCTTGTTTATGCTCGCATACAGGGATCCAGCGGAGGGGATCCGCGCATCGGAGAACGATGGGAATACCCTCTACTAGGTTGTTGTAAACAACAACTTGCCAACAAAAACCAACCAACAAAAAAAACACTGGCGACTCCAAACAACCAAGACCAACAGAAACAACAAGCACAACTCTGTCAACAAGAAAACATCAGAAGAACTACTCTGGAAAACACAGGCAACACTACAATAATAGTCGTCGAGAGAAGGCGCGTGCTCGTCCGTATGTAATGTGCGTATACGCAGCGACCAATCGGCTCGTTCCGGCGCTCGCAAGCCTTACCGTCGGTCTCGGCGAGGTTGCGTAGCTGCGACGACGGAACGCGAAATTGTTTGATACAGGCGTCGGTCGCACGGTACACGCCGTGGGGCAAGTGTTTGCCGGCCAGGGAGAAAAAAATGTCGTTCCGGATTCGGAGAGAGTGCGCGGTCCCAGTCCCAGACCCCCCAAGAAAAGATCATGAGAGGAACACGAGAAGCGGAAAAGGGCGTTTCGAAAGTTATTCCCACTAGTCTTAAACGAGTGGCGGCCGCAGCCGCAGCAGGTCGGAGCTATAATAGAACGTGCGGGCGACAAGACACCAACCGTGGATACATGAATTGCGAAAATGCAAGTTATGCATGGGTTATCTGCCACACGTACATGTCACGGTTTGAACGGCCACGCTAGACACGACGGCGCATTTAATGTTCGTGTGAGTGCGTATGTAGTCGGATCTGTAGACGAGATGACTGTTTCAGGTGCACTGCACATAGGTATGCGTTGGGTAGTACGACCAGAGAATGATTGTGCGGAGCCCCCACGCCAGCTGCTGTCAGCTGGCGTGCGCGTGGCACTCCCTGCTCTTTCCCCCCAACCGGGTGTGAGAGATAACAAGCATCTAAACATCAAGCACTACAATCTCTACAAAGACAACAAGGGCATACCACTTAGGGTTGACGAATACTCTAGAGTTTCCTTCGAAGGAGCCCCTTTGCGGAGATTATGCCTGGCGACACCCCAGAGAGCGACAGCGGCGGAACCACGATCGACACGCGCGTGGCGGAGCTGTCCACGAAGCTCGAGGAGCAAAGCAAGGTGCTGTCGGCTGTCATGGAGAAGCTAGGGCAACTTCAGATGCCGCCTGCCAGGGCGGCGGGGGCAGAAGAGGGGGAGTCAAGCGGCGCTGGCAACGCCGCAGGGCGCGGAGGAGCCGCGCCGGGCACACGGTTTGGGGTGCCACCCGGTGGAGTCGGGGGGGTAGGTCCCCCGGGCCACCCATCCGCTGGCCCCCCGCTGGGAAGCAATGCGCAGGGATTTTGGATGCAGGGGGTGATGGACACGATGTCATCGCTGCTGCAGGCAATAACAGATTGCGAAAGCCGAGGGGGGCCAGGCGGTGCTGGAAGACGCGCCGCATCCTGCGGTGGGATTGTTGGAATCTCGCCGCCAGGCAGCTGCCTATCAGAGCTGCACGCTGCGGCTGGCGTTAGAACAGATGACGCCGCTGGAAGAGAGAGCAGCAGTAGATCGGGCACAGAAGGTGTACCGGTGCGGGCGTTTGACGTCCCTGCAAATGGTGGTTTTGGTGGGTTCCAGACCATCGACTTTCTCTGTACGGTTGGCAGCTCTAGCAGAGGCGCTGCTGGGGATAGTTTGACTGCCCCGGGCACACGGGACGAGGTGTCAGGAGGTGGAGCCTGGAGGGTAATCCTCCGGGGCCACAAACATGAGCGACCTGTTGGGACCGGTCTAGTTACAATGGCAGCAAAGGGGCGGCGGCATCGGCGGTGGAGTAGCGGGCGGCACAACACACGAGCCTGTTGATCGCGGGAAAAGTACTCGCACCGGGAGAACTGGAGGATTGCAGTCATGGCGATTCTGGTGAACGTGGAATTGCCGCAGAGGAGCAAGGGCGACACCGCGAAATCTGCTATGCTTTTGAACGAGGGCCAACAACAACGCGGCGTTACCGCGAGGCGCTTCTTTCTGGTTGAGTTCGTGAGTGATATTGAATGATTTTGCTTGCGACGAATGATACCGAAAGTTTCTACAGGGGATTCGCGGTTAAGGCGTTTCCATTTTCTGATTTGGTGTTCGTAGAGTGATAGTAGCTTCGCTTACGATGATACGACCAACGATGATTTCGAAAGGGGATTCGCGGTTCAGGCGTTTCCATTCTTGAGTGTGGGTGTTTTGTTGAGCAATTGTTGTTCGTCTTTTTCGATGGTAAAATCCAGGCGTGCTATCGCGGGTGTTTCGTACGACGATGGTAATTCGGCTCCAAAAACCAGCCGCTCTATGATGGGGATTCGCGGTACAGGCGCTTCCATTTCATGATGTCCGCGGGCGATGAAAACTTTGTCTGGGGCAGAATAAAAGGGGTACGCAGGACCAGGCGTACTAAACGAGGGGATGCAGCATAGGCGCTCCCCACAACCGATGAAAATTCACGCACAGAGGTAAACCAGTATCTAGCGTGGAGGTTGAACAGAAGGGGTGCACAGGACCAGGTGTATTAGATGAGGGGATGCAGCAAAGGCGGTCCCGACAGCCGATGAAAACTTACGCACAGGGGTAAAACACTATCCAGCGTGTCGGCTGAAGAGAAGGGGTACACAGGATCCGGTGTATCAAAGGAGGGGATGCAGCACAGGCGCTCCCCGCGGTCGATGAAAACTCACGCACAGGGGTAAAACAGTATCCAGCGTGTCGGCTGACAAAAAGGGGGTACACGGGACCCGGTGTATCAAAAGTTGCAGACACCGGCGTAGGTGAAATTGTGCTGGCGTCAACATGAGGTGGAAATGGGGAGGGGAGGACACAAATGTAGGTGACATTTCCGTTGTTGCTGCTGGTAGGTGTGGACCCATGTACCAGATATATCACCTTGTGTGCGTGAGGTGGAAATGGGGAGGGGAGGACACCGTTATACTGCTGTGGGTGACATTTCCGTTGTTGCTGCAGGTAGGTGTGGACCCATGTACCAGACGTATCCACCTTATTGAGGGATTCGCAGTAGCAAGGCGTCTCCACAATCTATATCAGTGTTTGTCTTGTAGAAGGGGAGAAGCCCCATGATGAGAATCACTGTGTTTGTCTTGTAGGAGGAAAAGAAGCCTCAGCAATGATAAGTTCTCGATGCAGTATATAGTCAAGCGTGTTTTCCGCGAGCGTTGAATGAAGGAGGTATTGTGTGTGGCGTACCACTCGCAGCAAAGAGCGAGGGAGGTTATCGCACGACATGATGGACCGCAGTTTTCTTCGAGTGAGGGAGAGCAGCCATATCGACGCGTGCTGTATGACGGTTGAGAATTGGAACTTTGTTTTTTCTGAGAGTCTAAGAGTTGTGTGTGAGCAGGCTGAAGTTTGAATTTCTGAGAGTCGGAGCAAGAGTTGTTGCAAGAAGGCTTATCAGGCTTGATGTGTTTGACAAAACAGCTGTCGCGGGATGATAGCATTTACCACCGACCCCGGGGGCGACGCGATGCGCCGGAATCAAGGGGGAGGGAGGAAGTTAGGTGCTCAGATCATCGATAGTTGTTCGTCGAGCGGGGAGGGCAGTAGGAGTAAATCGCAACAGACTTTTGTTTGGGCTTTGTGGGAGTAAAATCGTGGCAGTGGCTGCAGACTTTTTGGACTTTGTTGGGTACTAGGGAAGAAGGTGATATTGAAACGTGGCGGGAAGGTTACCCGGATCGATGACGTTGTCGGAGTTATCCTGTTTGCGTCTCTATCTTGCTTTTTAGTAGTACCATACTTGGGAGGGAGGGGTTTTGACCCGGTGGCCGGGTTTCCCCTTAGGTTTTTATTGATTTGTTGTTTTTGCGGAAAAAACCTGACTTGAGGTGGCGGAAGCACGTATCCCACAGAAGAAGTGGTTAGTTACTTTAGTGTAAAGAACCAGGGAGGGTGTTCGTGTGAGTGCGTATGTAGTCGGATCTGTAGACGAGATGACTGTTTCAGGTGCACTGCACATAGGTATGCGTTGGGTAGTACGACCAGAGAATGATTGTGCGGAGCCCCCACGCCAGCTGCTGTCAGCTGGCGTGCGCGTGGCACTCCCTGCTCTTTCCCCCCAACCGGGTGTGAGAGATAACAAGCATCTAAACATCAAGCACTACAATCTCTACAAAGACAACAAGGGCATACCACTTAGGGTTGACGAATATTTAATATGCAAGAAAAAACGTGGGGTGGGCACATCAAGCCTTTTGCTACAACCGACACAAGGTGGATGCTATCCCTGTGCCAAGGTGTTCGAAATTTTCATCTCCTCTTACCCGGAGCCCTTCAGTAGAGGCGCCATAACGGCAAGCAGAGGAAACACCGATTTCGCGAGGAGTCCGCAATGCGCCGTGTGCGCGGGAGTGGGGGACAAGAAAGCAGAAGGGGAGCCAAGAGGTTAGGGAGGAATACACCGATCTTACTCATGCACGCATGCGTATGGATCTTACTCATGCACGCATGCGTATAGATGTTCAAACCAAAAAAAAATGTGCGTATGCACCGCCGTCCCACGTATGCATATAGCACATATCCGAGTTCCACGTATGCATTCGGATACGCATCATCAAGGGACCTGAAGTGAACGAACAAAACGATCCCGCAGCTCACGTATGCCGCGAATCACGTGCATACATGAGACCTGCTTAGCTCAGCAGCTCTCGCTCGTACGTACGATGATGCCGTGCGCACGGCACTTGCAGCGAGAAGGAGCAGAGAGTGGGCCATCATATATCCGTGTTGACCTCATCGGGCGGATACTAATATCTACGGACAGGCCAACTTGGGCGGCAGCCAGAGGGACCTCGGAAGATGGTGTACTTCTCTGGCTTGCCGCGCAAAATATAAAAATCAACCACATAACGCTTTCGTCCGTCGTGAGCTCGTAGGAACGACGACTGCCACACGCGAGCTCACCTCCCTTCTCTTGGATCTTGCGGCCGCTCTGAATGATGCGTGGCAATACGTCGCGTGGCGTAAAGAGGCATGGACGGATCCCGAGAACATGAGCGGGACAAAGCACGCGCGTACATGCGTATTGCCGGCATGCATGAAAACAAGAGCAGCAGCAGCAGCAACAGCAGCAGCAGCAACAGCAGCAGCAGTGGGGCACGGTTAGAGGATTGGGCGAGGGCAAGGCGTATACATCGCGGCTTGGATCCAGAGATTCATGGCAAGGTAGGCACTGGGAAGGAAGGCAGCAAGAAAGCAGAAAGGTCGTGAGGTCTTTGCCAGTCCGCGACAACAATGTTGGGGCCGTCGGGATATTTTGATATTTGAGCTACAACAAAATAGCTAGATACGCGTGTCGGCTCCAAGCTGAGCAGCCGAAGACTATGTAGCGCGAGAACCTCGCCGTGTCCACTACCCATGAGGGGTAGTGTTCCTTCACCGCTACCCGTACACGAGCTGAGGCACGCGACCATAGCATCGCCGTAGCTCCGAGACACGTACCGACACCGTTGCATACGCATGCCTCGAAATGTTCGCGGTCCAGGGATATACATACGTGCGGGTCTGTACTTTTACGAAGCAGCAGAACACCATCTCGTCACTCACCGCCTGTGCTGCAAGGGCCAGCACCAGCAAAGACGAGGTCACTTGCGCGAAGGAAGGCATGGTATCTGATGTGCAGTGTGGAGACAGAAGAAAGGAAAAGAGGGAAGGAGGTGGTTGTGAAGTGTGTGGGGAAGGTGTGGGCAAGAGGTGGGGGATTGGCTCCCACGAGGCGGGGGCGGCCCTCAAAAGTAAACAGACATGACCGGTCGTCGGAGATTCTCCTGAAAGATTCAATTTCGTAGATTCCGGGTTTGTGTGATACAGCCAGGATAAGTGTGTGTGTCATGTGTGTGTCACATCGAATTCCTCCGACAATAGCCGAATGGATCAGCCGACTAATCAACCATCAGGACCAAACCTGCACCCTAAAGGGGTTCAACGCCTACAAAACAAGGACAATCTTTTGTCCAGCATGGGATCGCGTTGGAGCAAGGCAGAGATTAAAGGCCATATATGCATCACTCACCAACATTAACATTGTTCGGTTTCCTTTTCGAAAAGAGAACAAGCATCCAGACACAGATTCACAAGAAAATATATAATACGACGAAAAAAAAACTGTACAGTACGTAAAAAAACATTTTTTTGCACCGGACATCGAGGGGTCTCACACGTACGTACTACGCATGCGTCATTCCCCCTTCGGACGAAAGGGTCTTTGGATCGGATCATTAATTAGTACGGCCGTGGAGGGCCGCCGGGCCTCAGGGTGGTAGTGGTAGTCAGAGAGTTGGCTCTATAATACGGAATTACTGCCAGGGCCGCACACCTGGTGTGGTTGCGTGTGGTGCCGTAATTCATGCAGACCGCATGCCCCTGCTGTACGGAGCTGAGAAAGGCGGAGAGGGATGCACTCACAGCAGCAGCCTACATAGTGATCCGTTGATCCTATTTTAATTTTGATTTTGACCCGCACACGCAGCAGTCAACGTACACATCATAAAACTCAAAACCAACGTCATCGTAGATCGTACATCCCGTTCGACTGCTGGGTAAAATATCTCGAATGGGGAGTCCTTCTGTGTGTGTTTTTATTATTCGGCACGGCTAAACACCCCACCGGTGGGGTAATAGCTTAACCACCCCACGGTGGGGTGGTAAGGCTTGCAAAGCGGCAATACATTCGTACATGTCTTGTGTTAATTGGAGTCTTGTAGGGCTACATACGGCAGTGGGGAAGTCTGCCTGCAAGAGAATAGAAGGCAGTGTTCGCTACCCACTTCGGGTGTTTGGCGTCATGCGGCGGGATTTCTTGAACTGTTCGGCGCCCCAGGTGCTGCCCGCTGCTGTGCGCTGTGCGTGCATCGACCACACACTCCTACAGGTGGTTGTGTGTCGATTGGAGCCTTGTAGAGGGAGATCCAGCTGGTGGGGTCAATAAAGTTATCGACCCCACCAGTGGGGTAGCGGCGGTATATGCCCCACCAACCGTGGCACCACGAAAACTGTGCCGTTTCGGCCTCACGATGGGTCCAATGATAGCCCTGCAACGCAGCAGCACACCCGTTGAAGTCCTGAGCTGATTGGAGTCTTGTAGAGCGAGATACAGCCGGTGGGGTGTTTAAGCCTTAACCACCCCACCGGTGGGGTGGTTAAGAAATTACCCCACCGGTGGGGTGTTTAGCCGTGCCGTTTATTATTCCTTAAATCGTACAGGCGTGCGTGGCTACGCGGTTGAACCGTGAGATCCGTCCGACTGACCAGCCCACCAGATCACTCACCCAGTCAGAGGAGGCGGAGCACGGAACACCGACCAGACGTGCGCGTACCCGGCAGGAAATATCGCTGTAGTATATCATCGTTCCTGCGCGCGTATCTCTGATGCCGGATTGTAGTTTCGCGGTCGGTCATGAAGAATCGTGGCTGCGTCGTTAGGGTTCGTGACATGTGAAGACCCTACTGCTGTTATTATCATCATGCTCGCTGGATGGATGTTCGCTTCGCTGCCGTGTGGGCCTGACCAATCACACGAGGTGAGAGAGAGAACAAATTAAATGTCATATGCCGTCATGCGAAAGGGGTGCAGTCAACACCAACAAGGGTAGTTGCTCAAAAGGAGGACCTGGTTCCCAAGGTACCCGTCAATCGACTTCACCTTTATTCCTCTTCGCATGTCCAACAAAAGTATCCGTCTGCAGGACACTGGTTCGGTACGCCGGTTGGTTGTTGTGCACATACATTTTTTCTTTTGACTTGATCACTTTTCCTACCCCGGACCTTCCGTACCTTGGACCTTCGCTGACGCGGACCTTGTGGACACAACAACATCTACCGTGGGTGACATGAGATTCTACACCCCATGGACCGATTTTCGAAGGTCAGTCACTCCACCGACGAGAGGATTGTTGTTGTTGTTGTCTTCACATTAAAAACCGTTCCGATCTCTCTCTACCCAGTACCTTCGTATGTCCGTACTGACCCAACAGTGGACGCGGTCGATTCCCGTGGTCACAGGTTAACTTACCCTAAAAAGGCACACTCAAATAAACTGGCCCCGAGGGGTCCCCAAGTCAATAGAAATCAACGACAGATATTCTGGAATCCCCCACTCCCTCTGCGCGCTATGCGAGGTATCAACTGAGACTTGGAGTCACTATCACGGGCCGGAGAGAAAGAGGTACACCCCCTTGGTTCAATCTTGGTACTTCACAACGCAAGCAGAGACAAGGCCATCTGGCACAGAAAAAGAGAGAGAAAAAAGAGAGAAAAAAAAGAGAAAAAAGAGAAAAAAAAAATGAAAACAGTAAGAAGAAGAGAAAATAAAATGAAAATATAATGAAAAAGGGCGAGGACAAAAAGGGACCAGGCCGAAAATAACAAGAAATAAGAGGCAGAAACAGGCACACGGTGGAGAGACCACTAACGAACAAGCAAACACGCAAACATGGCCACCAACCAGCGATACATTGTAATGGTCGTTATCACTACTGGGGGGTTGGTGCAATGGTGCAGCGTTGGGGGGGGGGAATTGGCTAAAAGAATTTCAATCCGGCACGTATCGTGCCACTCGGTCCGTCTCTTCTCGTTTGCTTTCTTCCCTCGCCGTCTCGTCCGTCTCCTGCCCCCCTCCCGCCCCATTGGTTGTTGGCTTGTGGTTTCGTTTGAGCGCTCCTTGTCGGCTGGCCTCTTCTTCCTTCTCGTGCCAGGAGGTCATGAACCTCTCAGCTCCCTGCAGCACCGCCGCATGCCAGGGTACTCCCCCCTCCACCTTCGCGGCTTCCGTCCACTTTAACTTCGGTGCCGTGTCTTTCGGTACGGGAATTCCGAGACAACATGGATCGGTTTTCGTAGATCCATGGTCGCCCCCAAAAGCCTTCAGGTCGTCGAGCACACACTTCGGCCAGTTCTGTTCCTGTCCCCCCCTACGTGGCTTCTCCCCCCCCGCCAGCTCGCCGAGCACCAGTCGTTTCGGGAGTCGCCCGTCCGGCTGCCTTGCCAGTGCTCCCGCGAACAGTAGGCGTCGTTGTCGGATCGTGGCTTCAACGCTCTGGCATTCGATCCTCTTCAGCGTCTGGGCGTAAGAGAGCTGCCTGTAGGTGTCTTTCTTGCGCTGTACCCGATAACTTGAAGGAGCAGTCAGTCGGTGGTGTGTCGACCGCAGCGTCTGATAGTGGCCGCTGAGTGGTGACCATGTCATGCAGCCGTACAGCAGTGCCTCCATCGCCTCCGCCTGGAGGAGGCGGATCTTTAGTCGGAATGGCGCTTTCGGTCTGTCGAAGAGCTCCTGGCCATATCGCCTGAGGCACGCCCACGCTCCTCTGCTCCTGTAGCTGATCTCCCGGGTGAGGTCGCCATGTTCGTTGACGAGGCCACCGAGGTACCGGAACTCGGTCGTCTGGGCGTATTTCTGTCCCGCGGCTTCGATGGTCAGCGGTGGAGGCTGTGATGACAATAATCAAACCATACACACACGTACGTACACCGGAAAGCTCTTGAGACGGTTCCTACATTTTTTTTTTTGCTCCCATCAATGGACTCTGCCGTCTGCCCCTCTGGCCCCCATCCTCCACTTCTACTAGCTAGACGACCCAACCGGGGTCACGTAGGAGGGGGGGGTTGGACCCCCTCCTGCGGTTCCTGCCTGAGATATTTTTATCGCGAGAAGGGTACAGCAACCCCTTCCCTCGCGACTTATAAAGTCGATCTAGTTTACACGCGGAAAATATTCCAGACACATAGGTCACCCCCCCCCCCCCCCCCC